TGGATACTGACAAATAAGAAAATGTGAAAGGAACAAATTTAATGACCTTGATAGTATTTTACGAATATACACCCTACGCAGAATTAACCAAACTACTATTAGTATGGGTTGGTTAGTAGATACTATTGTAATGCAAACAATAAAAATTACAAATACGATTACCAAATAACCACCTGTTTTAATTGTCATGTTTGTGTACGATAGCGCAATAAATAAATACTGTATTCTACCACATAAATGATAGTACTTTTATACTGATAATTAAAGCAATTCGTGCAAAATTATTCCCTAACCATTCCAAAATATCAAAAATGCACGACGTTAATATTCAAGTTTTCACTTCTGTCGGCACTCCCGGGAGCAACTCGTCGTTTTTTTTTAAATTTAATTTGATTAAAATAATTGCGGATAATATAGATTAGACAAAGATAATATATTCGAATTTTCTATACAATGTAACTGTAACAATTTGTGTTTGTGCATAATTGTAATTTAATACGCCTACAACGACTTATCAATGAGCTGTTTGAGCTCTATGGCTAAGCGCTCAGTGTAAATTACACATGCTCAAGCAACTTGGGTTTAATCCCCGCCGATACTAATAAAATTATTAATTGTAATTTTAAGTGCTTATTTACCACACTGCTCGACGATGAAGCAAACATACTCGTAGTGAGGTAATCTGCATTTCTGAGAAGTAAAATATATCGGGGACATTGTTTTTACATTAAAATTTTTGTGCATAAATAAATTGTTTATTTTCGGGCTGATTTGTTATTGTCCTTGTATTCTTGATACTCCGGGTCGCACCGATCTAATCGCACAAGCGCGTGTTACATGTATACACATAGGTCAAGATAGGAAGTGAGTGCCTCCGTGTTTGCTGTTTGCGTACTCACATTTCACATACAGCATTAAAAATGCGCAGTTACTAGCTTCCGATTCCGACCTTAAATCATATATGATCTTGAAATTGCTGCTTTGATCATTGTCCTCGAAAACAACATCGTCATAATACTACATCATAATTTATTCATTTATATAAATTAGACGCAGTAAATGTTATTCATACACTATATAATATTTTTTTTAAAGAAAACGCTACCCCTACACTAGGATTTTCTCCTGTATCGTGGGGGCAGTTTACAAACATAAATTGCACAAGGACAAATATACAATTTTATTCACTTCAATCCACATGTTACATTATTTGCAATATAAGTAGGTATAAGAATTCATTTACCGATGTCGTCCCTAGCACAGGTTAAATAATATAACTACATAAACCCTAGTAGGCATGCTGTAAGTCGTAAGCCGTAACTTATGTGGCATTGGGATTATAGGCTGTGGTAAAATACAAAATTTACCATATTTGTGTGTACAAAGCTTTTTAAGGTATTTATTCGTATGTTTATCAGAAATTTGAAGTATATGCTAAATGAAATATATTACGTATCATTAAAAATACACTTAGCACTCAAATTATTCAATAAACATTCATTGTGTAGCCATGATAAATAAGTAAAAAAGTAAGTGATTGCATGACATCATACGGAATTACGCCTCGCCTCTATTTCAAGTATAACAGCAGTGCAAATGTATAACTCTGGTGGGAATCGTTTTCCGGTGTAAATCACAACGTTATATTTTTGAAGTGAAAAGTGAAAACTTCTTTAAAATCGCTGTGATTTGAAATTAGATGAAACGATAAAACGACACAGGAGACAAACACATAATTTATTTTATAGGATAAAGGTGACAAACAAGCACGCAGTCACGGTAATATCCACCTGATGGTAAGTGGTTACTGCGGCCCATAAACATCTACACCTCGATTACGTGTCAAAATGCAGATGCGTTGTCACCCGTGAAGACTAAGATGGAATGCCTCGTTTCCAGTAAAAATGGTCTTCGGTTCTCTTCACTCACCATCCGAAACAGCTGCTATTTTATGCCGGTATTCTGTGAGAGCGTGGTCCTTCCCCGGTCGAGCCGACCTATTCGTTCTCCAACTATACCAGTAATATAGCTACAGCATGACTCTACCACGTATAAAATGTAATATAAAGGTGTAGGAATACAGTATACAGTATTCCCATACATATATACATACTAAATCTAAAATAAAATGCTAATATAAAAATGACATCCGTAATTTGTAATCGATACTTTTACACTATGCAAACAAACCAAGAATCAAACGCCAAAACGAACCCAATCACGATTCCCACCAGGATATATATATATATATATATATATATATATATATATATATATATATATATATATATATATATTAATAATTGTTTTCTATTTCGATTTCGTAACAGTTTCTGTCTTTCAAATGTTTTATTTAATAACTCGATGTCCCCATGACCGTGTGGCGACAATTTACGAAGCATCTTCGGGTTATGATTCCCGGTGTTGGGATTATTGTATAAGTAGATATAGTATTAGCGATTGTGGGAGGTATGGTTCAAACAACACACAATTTCATTTTTACATGCGGATACTAGAAAATAAATTTTCTGTTGAAGTTTTAACTTTTTTAAACACACGGAAAATTTTAAAACATATCCAGATCAGAGGAACCTACTATATATGTTTTTCGATTTGACTGAAACTCCCGAATCATTGGCTAGATGCTTTGATCAATGAGCCACTTGGTTGTTAACATTCGCCGATAAGGTCTTAACGACGCGACATAAAATTTTATCAACAAACTTATTTCTTACTTTATTTTTAAACTGTTCGTATCACTTGACAAATATTTTTGAAGTTTTATCGTTTGTACTACAAAGTTTAAAAGAAATACCACAGTTATCACAGCTGCTTTGAGACGCACACTATTTGGTTTTAAAATGTCATACTATCTAAACGGGTTCGGTATTGAGGCCGATACTAATAGCACTTTCAGTTCGTTAAACTCCCACATATAGCGCGCATAAGGATTTAAACCAACCAAAGCTGACTAAATATGACTCATTTTAACATTAGGATATAGCCTACGCCTTTAGGTGTTAGTGATATACACTTGAATTGTATTTATTAAAAGTTAAGAACAGCCAATGGCTTAGAAACATACTAAACTGTGTATGTTATGTACCTATTCAGTACTTTAAAAAATCCGACGCATGTTACTTAGGTAGGTATGTGCTAATATGTTTAAAAACAATTGAAGGTTAGTCAATCGAAATGACTAATACCTTTCTTAACTAAGCTGCAATAAGCTAAAAACAGGGTATAATATTTTTAGTCACGTAACATGATCTTACAGCCAAAATTAAGACTTCCTAAAATAACTACTCTCTATTTCTTTTAAAAACTACTCTCTAGCAGACTCTACTAACATAGCCATGGACTTGGCAGTGTACTTCGTCTACTTTTAACATTTTGCTGTCAACAATATGTGTTTTGTTGTCAAACAATATGCAAAAATTTGGTATTTATTATTTCAGATATAAGGGGTATGTTCCGAAATACAACGCAGTACACTGGCCAATGCAAATGACGTCATTAATTGGCGCCGTATTCCACCATATTCGATACAACGAATCAAAAATATGGCGTCGATTTATGACGTCATTTGCATTGGCCAGTGTACTGAGTTGTATTTCGGAACATACCTATAGCATCATTGTAAAATACTGTATTCATACTATTCATGTCCAACGCGCACGCGTCATTACCCTTGCACTGTCACCTACCTAATCAAAAACGTTTAAAGCCATCCCTAATCTCATCACTTATGCGACGCCGACGCTTGGACGTCGAGATTATTGTTAAATTGAGTACAATGAAGCTTAAATGCCATAAACCTTAACGATCACTTATGCATACTGACATTTTTGTTGATGCATTGAAAAATTTATACAAAGTTTGTATCGCCTACGGCCAAACCATTATACAATTTACAATTTTAGTGATCCCAGAAATCAGATTTAGATTTCTAGAGTATCTATGAGATTTGTAATTCAAGGCGGTCTCTGAGCTAACTTAAGGATATAGCCTACGCCTTCAGGGGTTAGTGATGGGCACTAGTATACGCGCTTAGCTAACATGGTATATGAAATGGAGTTTTCAACACAAAGTACAAAATTCACCAATATTTAAAGGAAGGCCTGTTCCATTTACACACGCTACTTTAAAAAGAATTAAAAAAAAATTTTAATCGTGAATTGTTGGTTGAATAAAACTTTGTGAACAATAAATATAATTTGGTTGTTATATCATCCAAATTTTATCGGATTAAATGTTGTAATCAGAACACAGAAACCACTCCTTCACCATTTTATCTTTTTTAAAAAGAAAATGGGACTTATCTGCGTTTTGATAAGTTTATCCTGCCTCAACTTCTTTGTTTAACATTTTATATTATCACGTTTATAAATGTCGAGTATGTATGTATGTGGTCAGACCTTTGGAAGAGAATAAAGAGAAACTTTATGTTATATAAATATTTTTTTTCAATATAAATTTTTGGCAAATATTTTAAGAACATACAGCCTATCAAAAGCCCACTGCTGAACAGGCCTCCCTATAGATTGACTCATAGACGGGATATTCGCCATAGTTGTCACACTTGGCAGACGGGTTGGCAATGGCAGTCTTTATTTTTTAGTTGTTATTAGAAAGACGATCTCCTGGTGTGTTTCCCTCTGCCGCCACTTACGACACCCACGGGGCATATCACATAACATTCATAACATTTCAGAAGATATAACTATGTATTTAATATAAATATCAAACTCTTACGATGCAGTATTAAACATTTTATCTATTTTCAACTTATAGAAGCGACCTGCGCTGCGGTCACAGCACAATGGAGCTCTATTAACTCATAATGGGTAACTGTGGACGTTAGTTACTCGTAATTACTTAACAATTGTATGAATAAATATATTATTCATACGGTTCTGTAATTAAGATGACCAAATATCAAAATAATATTAATTTAAAAATCGTTGTAAACTTAACGAAATAAAAACTAAACTACTTACCCACAAGTACAAATTTCACAAACACACTGCTCCTTGACAACAGTTTTCTCTGGCCTTTTGGGACCAGCATGTCTTGGCCGCCTTTCGTCAATGTAGATGGTCTCCTCAACTGTGGTCCTGTCATCACGAACTGTTTTCCTGTCATCGATGATGGTTTCGTCGTAAACAGTGCTGACGACAGTGTCCTTTCTTGTGGTGTCGGTTATTGCATGATCTACGACGTCATATTCGCGTGTATCTCGTGTGGTTTGGACATCCTTCTAAAATTATATTAAAATTTGTTACATACTATAAATTTATAAGAAATATTTTATGTAAAAATAGCACAAACTCAAAACTAACTTACCAAGTTTTTGATGTCTAACGCACTGTTGTCAACGAAAACATTGGTTTTAATTTTATCGTCTTCTTTTGCATCTTCATATGTAGTTATTTTCCTAGTAACTCCATTTTCAGTAATATAACGCGTCACCTCAATTTGACTTCTAGTTTTATCAACTTCAAATGACTTTTTGATTACATCAGAGTTGCTATTTTTTAAAACAGTAATTTGTTCGGTGTCTACACCTTCATAAAGATCTTTTACATCCTCCTTAATTTTTGTTCCAAAGGATACCTTGTCAATTCTTTTAAAAGGATACTTTTTAACAGTTTCAATTATGTCTTTTAACACTCTATCGTCAATATTTCTTCTGATGACAATATTCTGATTACTAACTGTAACATCTTTATTGGAGGCTGACGTTTCAATTATTTTTCGCAAATCACTTATAGAAGTAAAATCTTTTATATCTTTTGATGTTAATATAATATTGTCTTCAGTGTCTTGTCGTTTTAAGTGGTATCGCGGCTGCTCAGGTCGACCAAATGGTGACATTTCTTTAGGTCTTTTTGGTCTATCATCATCATTCTCATAAACAAATTTCCCATTCCATGTTCCCGTACTTCTTTCATAACTCGTCAAGGTGTCTTTTGTTTCAGAAGTTGATTTTGATGTGCTTTCTTTAACTATATTTTGTTGTTCTTTTGTTATAAATTCCGTTGTTTTGGTTGTGTTCTTAATATCGCGTACATCATTATTATCGTGTGTAGAAGTAATACCTTGAGTATCAGAGTACACTGATTTATTAGTCGTGTCTTTAATGTTCTTGGCATAATCCTCATCTTTATCTGTAAAGTGCTCTGTAATAGCGGGCTTCTTTGTAAAATCACCAGTGTATACATTTCTTGTGGAAGCAATTTCTTTACCATCTTTATACAAAGCAGATTCCTCTGCGACATGGGTTGCACTTTTGGGAATACCATCTTTACCAGTATCATAGAAAGATTCTTTGTCTAACACGTGTCGTGTATATTCGTGTTCAGGTTTTATATTGGGCCCACTAACGTAATGACTCTTTTCATGTGTAGAATGTTCTTTAGTATCACCCCATTCCCTGTGTTTGCTGTCCACTATTCTCTGCCTCCCGTCAACAACTTCCAAAATGTAAGATGATGTTGATTCTTGTTGGGCACTGTTAGTGTTGCTCTTTAATATTTTGGTGGAAAAGTTTATGTTATCAGCATCATGTACTTGCAAAATATCTCCAACTCTTTTAAGTTCATTTTGAATTGTAGAATCATAACCATAGAAATCAGATGAATCTGTTCTAGTATTTTGATCCCGCCTTTGCAAATTCGAAGTTTGATTAATTGTTTGGTTATATTTATTAGTGTTTGTATTACTTTGAGTTTTGTTGATTAGCTCAGATGACACATTGGTATTTAACTCATTATTTTGAGATAATACGCGTTCCTCAGTTGACTCAGTTGATCCAAGTTGATGTAGATTATCTTTATGTGAAATATAGCTCTCGTGCGAAGTGATTTTCTTTCCATCCTTAACTAATTGTGAGTCTTCTTTTATCTTCATTTCATTTATTGGATGTCCGCCATCCTTTCCCGTGTCATATTTTGACTTCATGTCGTAGTTTTGCTGACTGTAGACAGATTCAGGCTTAATGTCAGTTCCACTTACACTCGCGTAGGTTTCTTTAGATGCATGTTCTTGTGCGTCACCCCACTCCCTTTTCGAGGTATCAATTATACGTTCTTTTCCGTCCACAATTTCAACCACATACGACGAAGATGTCGATGTTGTCGCATTACTGCTTTTATTTTCACTTGATTTGCTTGTTGTACTATATTCCCTGGATTTTTTACTGTTCTCTAAAGAGCCTTCTCCTCCGTAAAAATTCGATGTGTCTAATTTACCTGTATGATTTCTCTTCGAAGTCTCAGACGAATGCTGATAGCGGTCGTTCTCGCGTTGGTTATCAAATTTCTTATCAGTTATTTTCGCAAAATTGTTTTTAATATCTCGCCGTGACGTGGTTGACTGATGCGTTGATTGGGTATTGGATACATTTTCGCGTTCCGATTGAAGAAAAGCATCAGTACTATTCGCACCCTGAGGTCTTCGGTCAAACGTATTTGATCCTGCCGTGTTGTGTGCAGTACTATCTATAAAAGCAGTGTTAAGTGTCTGATTCTCAACAGAAGAATCCACTGTTCTATCAAATGTATGACTTTGATTTGAATCGGAATGTTGAACTGAGGTTGAAGATGACTGAAAAGTTTCACTTTTAGAGCTTTTTTGGTGCACTGATGACGACTCTTGAATTACAGAACTAGAAACGAATTCTCCAGTTGTAGATTTTGCCATATCACTTACGTTATGTTCATACGATCTTATTTGAGACAGATCAGTCATCGATGGTGCTTCCGTTATAATATAGTGCGGGTGGCTATTATAATGCTCGGATATTGTAGAGCCGGTTATAGAAGCATGATCAGTTACATCAGTAATCATCAGCGGGTCTTCCTCCTCGACCTTAACCTCGATATAACGGACCTTTTTCCCTGATGAGCTCACCTTTTGAAGTGCGTTACTGCTCTTTTGCACCATGGATGTACTACTTTTCTGAACACTGGTTGATGCACTGCTCGAGGAGGTCGCCTCGGACGCTTTTAATTCTTTAGTCTTTTTATTCTTTATAGTCATTTTGTTTTCACTGTTTCGCGTAGTTAAAAGGAATTATATAATAAACGAACTTAACTTAGTATAGAAGAGATTCTTAAAAACACAATGATTAAATATTGAAAATTAGAATAATTTTATCACATAATAAAAATAAATAAACGCTTTGCCATGTAATGTAAACCGTCGCGAGAGTCGTTCGTGTCGAGAGTCGTGCGCGCGCACCGTTCGCGACTGTTTCGCGGAGTCTGTGGCAACGCGGCGATGCAGCTCGGAGTCGGAGCCGTGAGCCGGTGCCCCCCTTACACCTTGTCGTGTATCACAACGCCCACAAGGCCTTCGCAACACGTAAGCGCTTACATCTCGCTGTTGGACTCATACCAAAAATGGTACATTGAGAGTTGCCCCTTAATTGGTTGCAACTACAGCATTTCTCGATTTTAAATTGATTATTCGGTGTATAGTGTCTGCTAGAAACTTTAACTTATACATATATGTGTCATATTAAACAACAATAAATACAAATATTTTGAGTAAATAATTTCGAAGTTTATAATGGGAATATCTTTTAAAAAAAATAGTATTTTTTCATTTAATTATAACTGAAAGTCACTTAATATTTTCTGTTTATGATTAACAGCATCTGCAATTGTATGTATCAAAAATACACCATAAATATTGATGCCTAATAAACAAAATGTACTTTAGCACAAAATATTATTAACGATAACTAGTAAAAGTTCAAATTTTATAACACTGCTTTACGTGGTAGAGCCAAGCTGCAGCTATATTATGGTGTACAAATGTCGACCAGGGGAGGAGCACGCTCTCACAGAATACCAGCGTAAAATAGCAGCTTAATGCATTGCCTATGGTGAGTGTAGAGAACCAGAGACTCTTTTTACTGGAAACACAGCATTCCATCTCGCTCCTAAGAAGTGACAACGCATTTTGATTCTTAACTGAGGATAAATGTAGATGTTTATGGCCGATAGCAGCCACTTACCATCAGTTGGACTGTGTGCTCCTTTGTCACCCTAATATTATAAAAAACTCTACATACATTATTGTACTTGACCTCGGAAAAAAAATCTACGTAAATTTGCATTTTATTTTGTATATGACTTCATTTAGCTAAAAGCTTTACAAAGAGTAAGTATATAATGATTCAGTATATTGTGAATCTGAAGTTATTATACAGGTCAAGTACGTATGTTGTGTAACAATCGAATGAAACTTTCACTAGTTTTGTAAAAACGCGATGTTGTAAAATTGCTATTGATTACTTTTCGAATAAGAGTAGAGTTGTTTTACAATGAAAAACAAAAATTTTTTTTGGTTTTGATAACTTTCTAGTTCCATAATTAATAAAATTTGTAATAAAATATAAAATTAAAAACCCTAAAATCATGTTTTTAGTACTAAAGCTTATAAGTTAAAGGAGATCAACGTTAAGTGCAAAATAATCATATAGGTACAACATATATGTATCTGCAATAAGTAATGTTTGGGGCAGTGTGTAAACTACTACGAATAGAATATATCCATCATCTTAGAAACTAACAAGATACAGCAATAATAAACAACCACATCACAAAGCACTAAATATTATAAACACCAATACCGAAACCACATTTCTGTTACTAAACTAGGAAATCTAATGTAGACACTAATGGTCAAGTTGCGAGTAGGAACTGCCGTCATGAATAGTGAAGTGGAACTTGTAAGGTTAATTTTAACTTTAACCTTCACAATAATAACAAAAAACAATAAATTTTATAAATTAATTTTTAATACAAATCTTGTGGAAAATGAAGCCTGTGGAATGAGGATGAAATTCAATTATTTGGAAAAAGGGTGACATTTTATGAATGGTAGAGCCATGCAGCAGCTCTGTATTATACAACTTGTATTGGATGATTTTTTAACCATCTGGAAAAAAATAAGGCGTTACAGGTGAACGGATTAGGAGCCTATGGCACTGATATTTTCCATTCATTTTATTTTACCATATTTTTTATAAATTCCTAAATAACGCCCTATTTTTTTCCAGACGATAGAAGAATCACCCAGTAGGTATATATATATGCTTATGCTTGGGGTGTAAGGAAATAAGATCGGAATCATTTGTAAAATTACCTGTTAAGTTTAGCGATATAAGAATAGAAATTGATTTTTTTGTGGTGGGTGGCAATAATTTGAATATATCTGTCATTATCGTTACATACGTACAAAACTGAAAAGGTATAAGACCTACAACAAATAGCGAGTCGACCGTAAACGATATTCTGCAAATAAATTCGATTTCTTTGTCCGATCAAGTTAATACGTCGGTGTATGTGTCGGTCGCAAGTATTTTTGAGCAAGATTATGCACCAAACAAGCCCGTGTTTATTAATTATGGCTACGTTACCTGTTGTGTTCAGTGGAAGAGACCCGTGTAAATTCTGTGTGCGTGGTATTGGGTTGACCCTGACACTGGTGGTTTCTGGGGTGAATCGGTGGTGCAGCCGACAACAGACCTGTGTAAATCCAGCCATTATTAAGTATCTGGGCTGACCTGCTTGAGACTGTTGTAAATCCTGTTTGCACACGCGAGTATGTGCGGGACATTCGGTTGCGTGGGAACAGACCTGTGTAAAGCCTATGTGACTTTAAACGCTTTTGTGTAGCGTTGATAACTGTTTATGTTGACTGTTTGGACTGATTGACTTGTTTGGCTAAGTACATACTACCTTTTATGAACTCTGAATTTAGATCAACTATACGCGATATAAATAAATATGTATCTTAGATTGTGTGTATCTTCTCAGAGGTCGACGACGACGATGGTGACGTCGAACAGCCGTTGGATGCGGTGAGTGTTGCTGACCCATCCACGAGTTCCTGCTGAGGGCTTTGAACACGCAGCCCCATCAGGAGAGGCCGTGTTAGAAGAGAGGGTCTGAATCAAGAGTGGCTACGCCGCGGCGGGGTATATAGGAGGGCGGCTGGCAACACCGCCCTTTCACCCCCCCACCGAGGACGGAAGAACCCCCCACTTTTTGTTTTAAACTTTTACGCTAGTTCTTACTTGTTTGGCTGAAGGCCATTAAAATCTTTTTAAAAAGTCAACCTGTGTTTCTATTTGTAACAATATATATATATATATATATATATATATATATATATATATATATATATATATATATATATAGCAAGAAGGGTCAGCTTGATCGGGATGGTCCACGCTCTGACAGAATACCAGCTTAAATAGCAGCTATTTAATGAGGTTCAAATTGCACACAATTTGGACCTGAGCCATTTTGTGGAATCTCAAGAAGCCTAGCCAGATTGACCCTTGAAACTCTTTATCACAATAAATCACTTAAGATCTGGTCTGACACACCAGGCTTAAAACATTCTAAAACCATATTCCGGGCTTTTGATCGTAAATTCGCCTCTGAAACCCTAAGATTAAGTAAAAATAAATTGCGCATTATGGCAAGAGCCCTAACTGGACACTGTTGTCTTAAAAAGCACATGTCCATCCTGGGACTAAGCAACTATGTCGGTTCTGTTCCATAACGGAAGAAACGCGTCTACACGTCCTAACTGATTGCGGACCCTTAATGCGCAAACGTAACACTCATCTGGGAAACTATGTACTTCGCCCAGAGGAAGTGAAATTGGTCACGGCTAAGCAACTCTCGTCTATTCATTGAAGACATAGTGCTTAGCCGTGAACTACAGCCATAGCAGCGATCACAATAGATCTTTTAGGTCGCAGTGATACTGATCTCTTTCCCTAGACTTGCATAGCTGCTCGCACATAATTAAAAAAAATATTGCTGTATTTCGTGCGGTGAGTGTAGAGAACCGGAGATCCTTTTTACTGGATATGAGACAGTCCTAAAGAGTGAAAACGCATCCGCATTTTGTATCTTAATCGGGGATAACTTTAGATGCCTATTGCCCACAGATTTCACACACAGCTTTGTGGCATTCCTTGGGGGAGATCTATGTTCAGAAGTGGACTTGTGAAGGGCTGTAATGATGATGATGATGATGATGATGATGATGATGATGATGATGAAAATGATGATTGCCCACAGTATCCAGTTATCCTCAGGTGGACTGTGCGCTTGTTCGTCACCCTTATTCTATATAAAATATTAATTAATGATTCTTTGGATCCCTAGCAATTTTTTCAGTCATTATAAAGTTATAAAACTTATCCCAACCTTGCGCGTCCTTGACGAACGAGGCTCTGGAGACCGTTTGATAGCGGATAAAACATCCGAGTACGGAGAATTAAATTACATAGACTCGTGATGGGAGCAGCATTAGCGGTGCGAAGGCCCTACGCCCGCCAACTCGCCCGTACAGCTTAGCGTACCTATTCAATGTTTACACAAATTTCAAGTAATGCAAGTCCATCAAGCAATTTTTTGGAAGGGTCTGTGACCAGTAGTGGGCTTAATCAGGCTCTTGAAGAATAAAATGGAAAAATGAGCTAACAGACTACCTGATAATGAGTGGCTATGGCCGTGGACTGCAACTAACTTCAAATAATTCAACAGATGCGTTTTCATTATCACTTCTCAGGACGGAGACGGAAACTTGGTACTGAATACGCTTGCGAAACAAGAAGTTGCGGGTTCGACTCCCGCTAGTTTCACTTAATATCGTTGAGTAGCACGTGAAAAATCCTGCTATAGAGCTGAATATAATATCCCTTAAAATAAATTAGTTTGCTTTTGGAAATCTTAATTAAATTTTAACGATTTGACTTTTTTTATTAAAACATTTCATTTACCAGTTTGGTTGTAATGACGTAACTTTCGAGAATTTATTAGTAAGGCGACGTGGGCTTAACGCGAACTTTTATTTTTTTTATTTTCTTGATTTAAAACGTAAATCAGTTGTCGAAAATGAATCTGATTCTAAATATACTAAAACATAATATCCATAAATCAGCTTTTAATCGACCTTAAGTCGGTAAAGCGGCCGCTTCATCCAGCACTACATATAAGCTTACAATT